GCTAGACGTCAGACAACCATCATAGGCCAGCACCTGAAACCCTAACCCGTAGACGTTACCCTTCTTCTTTACACTAAATGTGTCCATCCACAGGTCGTGATAAGAAGGATCATGAGATGTGGTCGAACTAGCGCCAAACTATTGGGATTGGCTCATCTTCAACCTCTGGAAAGCCTCCTACAAAAAAAATATGATTAATGAATGTTAGAGACTAAATAAAGTTTGATTTTTTTTTTGAACTGTATAATAATTAAGCTTTTGAATTACTTGGCTAGTGATGTTGCTGCCACAGAGGCCTCTACACTAATCAATAACTCTTTGGTGATCCCTTTTTTATATGGAAAAAAGTATATAGTATGCCAAAATCTTGATGTATGAATATCCATGTATACCTTCAAACCTAAAAACAATCAACATATTAAAAAGTGCATTCAACTAAATACATAGAAAATAATTTTAGTTGCTCGCTTAATGGCAGAGTTGTAATAATGGGTGATGAAATCATTAAAAGGAGTGAACATTTTAAATAGCTCGAACAATGACAATCACTCGAAAATTGACTAATTTGAATTTTGGCTCTGATAGAGTTTAGATCACAGATCAAAATAAACAACCTAAGCTACAAGCCAAATTTGCTGATTAAATTTGTTCTAACCAACCCAAGTTCAGCTTGAAAGTAGAACGTTGACAACTTACTAATGTTAGGGCTATCGTAGATTCACAAGCAATCGAACATTGATTTGAATTTTGGTTGTAATCTTATCTATAACTATAGCTTCACCAACCCTTCCACAAGTTTATTTCTTTCACATTTTCTTTCCAAGTGTAAAGCTACTGATCCACCTAAGTAATCTTGTCTCAACAATTCTTATCATTTTTCTTGCACACCTCTAAAAATTTTCCGAGAAAGAAATACTTCACATTATATAAGAGTATTCGCTTCATCTTTCAATAGAAAATCTAATTTTCATTGCCAAAATGAAGATTCACTTTAAAAATTATCTTCAAGACAATGATATAACTAAATGCTCTACAATGTCATGAACATAATGTTCTAAGTGAATTTCTTTTTGGTAATGAATAATAGATATCCCAGTAGAGAATGAAGTGAACACTCTTACATCATATGAAGTATTTTCTCATAATATGTTTAGAGGTCTGAAAATAATTTACTAAAAGTAAAACATCGTGCAAATGAGAATGCTTGAGTTTATGATTAGCTTTACACTTGGAGATAAAATTTGAAATAAATATATCTTTGAAAGGGTTGGTGTAACTACAATTACAGATAATATTAGAGGGAGGCATCATAACTGATTTAACCTATAGATTAAATTAAACTTAGCCAAACAAAAAAAAGGAAATATTAATTTGAGCTATCATTTATGTCATAATTGATTACATTTCATTATTTTGAGTCATTGTTGGACTGATTAACAATCTTTGACATACCTAACATCCGTAGGATGTTAAATGATGTGATTTTGACTGATTTTGAGCCAAACAAGGGTCGACTCGAAAGAAATTGGATCCAAAATGTTGGCTTGTGGCTCAGCGCATTTATTAGATCCAAGTTGAATGTACGTTCCCAAATTTGAATAATTTTTTGAGTGATTTTCATTGTTTGAGCTAAATTCACATACCTACCCTAAGTACCAAATAATTTCTACATATCACCAAAAATTTCACCAAATATGAATTTAGGGATTTCCTAGCAATGGGTTTAAACTAGGATTTAACCTGAAGTTAGGTTAAATACTAACAAAGGATCATTCTGAGAAAAATAGAATCTTGGATTCTGAAAATCCAAATTTTATAGAATTGTCCCGTAAAGCCAGGATTTAATTAGCTACTGTGTAACAGCCATTACACTTCAATTGGTCATAACATGAGCTAAACACCTTGTTTTTAAAAATAGTTTAGACCATTATATTTCTTTTGTTCTCCTCTTAAAAATAACTTACATTTGTATATTTCCATAACTACCCTAACTACCTTGCAAAGTACCAAAATTCCCTTTCTTTTTGCAACCCTTCATTCATGTTTTAACTCTTCCACTCTCCCCTCCACCCCTCCCCCTCCCACCC